ATTGCATATGTAGCTCTTTTTTCCCTCAGCCGCAGTGCCGAAAACAAGACCCCACCCAATAGGCTGTATCCTGTTAATGAAAGGGAGGCAGCTGACTGAGGCTGGCTGGGGTAAAAAGTTGCTGATGCTGCTGCCAATGGGTTCACTTTCAAGACTGAGGCAAAAACTTGGAAAACTCACTTTAGCGGAATATACTCACGCTCATTCCGTACGCATCGATTTTAAGCCAAACCTCAGAAAAAAAAGGATGGAGTGAAAGAGGAGTTTAAAACGGAATCTGCGATCGACTTAGAGACTTCGAGTGCCCTGTTCGATGTTATCGTAAATTTTCTGCAGCAACCGTGGCCAAATTGAAACAAATTTTAATCACGATGCGAAAAGTTTTTTGCCGCAGGAGCTCTTAATTTGGAATCATAGTAATTCAGCTGTTTATCAAATGCAACCTCTTTAGCTTTAATTTTCTGTTTTCCACAAGCATTTCTCCACAAGTGCCATACACAAAAACTTGTAAATACCTGTTTCCAACAAGCTCAATTTCAGAATGAAGAAGAAGAAGAAGAGGGTAAGTTCAAACTTCTTTTCCTGCAAGTCCAAACTCCTATGAAAAATGCGAGATCTTCCGAACTTTGTGTGATTCCTGCGATTAAGAAATTCAAGGACCAATCATCCTTTAGTCAGATCGAGACAATTCAGCCAAAAAGCCATCTCATGCTATTCCTTACCTTTTGTCTCTTTCAAATGAAACCAATATTAAGCCAATATTAAACCTCGCTTTCGCTAGAAGCAGAATATGTTCCTCCTCCGCCTTTTCAGTTTCACTTTCACCTGTACCCTACGGCTCCTACTCCCCTTTTTCTAGAAAAGTCTTTTTGCATGAGGAGATAGTTGCGATAATTTATACTGGTAAAAAAGATTTGGTTGCCAGAAAAATATCAGTTTCGTAAAAAATGTTTTTTTAATCGCGCCTTGTAACTGAAAAATCCGAAAATTTTAGAAAAAAGGTTTACGACGCAACAAAAGCTGTGCATGGTGATCTCCGGAACGGCCGCATTATTCTTCCTGATGCTGACGCTTGCCGGGGTAGCCGTCCTTGTGACCGGCTTCAAAATTTTCTCCTAGGTTGGCATTTCCGAGATCTCTGCTTTTTGTTACATTTTCGCATCAGTGCATTTTAAAGAAGATACTTCTCGCTGCCTGTGATAACGCACTGCAGCTTCGTTCGTGTAACGCGAAGCTTAAAGTTATAAGTGCCTAGCTGGCATAGGCTGACAGCTTTAAGCCTCAAAAATGAAAATAACCATTTGATATAAATTGAAATGTACGTAAAAGTTGTTTG